ATACTATGTGCCAATCACTGTGCCAAACATGGAAGGACATGCAAGTTTATATAAGACATGGTTCCCTTGCCTCCATGGAGCTTACCATCTTCTTCCAAGAAAGAGATTACAAGTTATATAACTGCATCTTCAGGAAAAGGTATAAAATGTACTTTTCTCAACAAACTTTAAGTGCCTATTATGTGCAGAATACCATGCTCGATATTGAGATTACAAAGATAAAAACAAAATCGTTCCTGCACTCAAAGAAGTTACATTAATCAGGACATCAGTATCCCTGACACCTATATTCCTCTGATACTAACCAATAGGGAGAGACATAAAATAAAATCACGAAAGTTGAAATTTGAGTTCTATACAAATTGAAAATAGAATATATGACCAGTTTTAAAACTGATTGGCAAGCATTAAAATGCAATAGCCACATCTCTTAAGTTGCAGCTCCATCACAAACAATGTTGCATGAGTTTCAAACTACCACATAAGATAACTGACTTACTTACCTTAGCTCTATCCTCCTGTGAACAGCCATGCTATGCTCAAAAAAAAACTGATAACCTAAATTCCCTATGGCACATCAAATATCATATATGCAATGTTACATTTTGTCATGGATACATTAGTATCCATTCAAAAACTTTAAGCACCTACTTACTATATGCAAGACATTATGCCAGGAACCGTGAGGAATACAATGACAAACAAGGCCAAATCCCCTCACATCATGGAACATCAGATTACTACTCATACGATAAAGACAACAGTCAAGAAAAATTACTAGGATGGCCTGAGACAAGAAACTTTTCATTTTTCACACATTACTATTTGCATTTGTCATAAATAACTCGCTTAAATAACATCATATTTTACAAAATAAATTGACAAAAGACCACAAGTGACGACAAAACACATGGCTTGGTTTTATAATCTACAGAAATTAAATGTCCAAAATGTAGATCACCAAGATATTTCTATACTTTGGATATACCAATACTCAGTTAAAAGATCTCCCAGTACACAATGATTTTCAGATCTTTCAAACAATGTGTCTAAAAGAATCCTACATAATTACAAAACCAGCCTGCCATACAAATTAAACCAGCAAAAATGTGGAAAGTACATTTATACTTCCAAATCATTTTAGTGGGGAAAAAAATACTTACCAATACTTTGTTTTCTACTTTGTCTCCCCTGACTTCCAACTTTACTTTCTTTTTTACAGCAATTTTAATCTTCCTGCCAATAACATCCTTGATACTTTCTGCAAAAAAAAAATGGCATAATTATATACTTTCATAACAAAGAAAAAAATCAAGGAGAAAGAGAGAAAAAGGATGGTTCTTCTAGCAAAGGAAATTTTACTATCAAACTGTTCTCATTATTATCAGATATTCTGAATCCAGCATTTATTAGACACCTACTAGAGAAGCTTAATATTTGTTTTGATCCTAGAAGAACTTATCATTTTATTAGGGAGATAAGACACACACATGAAACAGATTCCTAAACGACAAAATGATTAAATACTAAATGTATGACATATATTAAGCACCATAGGAATTCAGAAGGGAGAGATCAATAGAGGCTAGAAGCCAAGAAGGCATCTTAAAATTCCTGGTTTGCTTCAGAACTCAGCTCAAGAAACACCTTCTCCATGAAGACTTTCTTAATCCTTCCCCCATATAAACAAAGCTCCTCATGAACTCCTTCCCCAAAACTACCTGACATTCATTCTGTATATATCAAATATATTATACATTATTCTGTGTGTGTGTGTGTGTGTGTGTGTGTGTGTGTGTGTGTGTGTGTGTATTACTTATACTTACAGGTACTAGTCACTCAACTAGCATTTATTAAGTACCTATGTGCCAGGTACTATACTAAGCAATGGAGATGCAAACAACTATAAAAACAAGCTATGTGTGGCAGCTAGGTGGCACAGTGAATAGAACTCTGGTCTTGGAGTCAGGAGGACCTGAGTTCAAATCTTGCCTCAGTCACTGAACACTTACTAGCTGTGTGATCCTAGGCAAGTCACTTAACCCAGATCACCTCACCAAAAAAAAATGCAAAAAAACAAGCTACATACAGGATAAATTGGGGGTATTCTCAGAAGGAAGGCACTAGGATTAAGGATGACTGGGAAAGCTTTCCTGCAGAAGGGGAAACTTTAGCTGAGACCTAAGGGAATGTAGAGAAAGTAGGAAGCAGAGATGAGAAGGGAAAATGTTCTAGGAATGGGGGATAGACAGTGAAAGGAGTCAAAAGAAGGAACAGAGGAAGAAAACAGGTCAAGATGGATCATCCTGTGCCAGGAACTGCAAGGCCAATGTCACTGGAATGCAGAGTACATGGAAGGGAATAAGGTATAAAAAGACTGGAAAGGTAGGAAGGGACCAGATTATGAAAAGTTTTGAACACCAAACAGAGGATTTTATAGTTGATCCTAGAGGTAATAGGAAGCCACTTGAGTTGGAGCAGGGAAAGACTTGAGGCAGGGACACCAACCAGCAGACTATGACAATAATCTAGGTGGGAGGTGATGAGGGTGATGGCAGCATCAGAGAGGAGAAAGGGCCATATACAAGACAGCTATGAAGGTAGAAATGACAAAACTTGACAACTGACTTGATATGGGGGGTAAGGGAGAGGTGAAAGTGTGGAATTGAGCATAACACCTAGATTGTAAGCCTGAGTGACGGGAGGATGGCAGTGCCCTCAGTAGTAATAGTAAAGTTAGGAAGAGGGAAGGTCTGGATGGAAAGGTGGCTTCAGTTTTAGACCCACTGAGTTTAAGATGCCTATGAGAAATCCAGTTCTAGATGTCTAATAGACAGAGACAAGAGGTCAAGAAAGAGATTAGGGCTGGACAAGTAGATCTCAGAGTCTTCTGCATAAGAACTGATAAATGAAACCATGGCAGCCAATGAGACCACCAAATGAAATGTAGCCACCATTAAAATGTTAGTTCCTTGAGGGCAAGGACTATTTTACTTTTGTCTTTACATCCCAGCATAGCACCTGGCACACAGTAAGTGCTTAATAAAAACTTAGTGATGGAGAAGGAAATAGACCTTGAAGGACAAGGAAAGAAGCATGAGGTGGGGGAAGGTGATCAGAGGAAAAGACCATGTCAGAACATCCAAGGAGGGTAGCCATTATAGTCAGTCCCCACCAAAACAACATCCTACAGAATTCCAAGACTCATGAAAAGGGGCCCCAAGTGTACATGGCAAGGAGGGAAAGAGGTAATAAAATGTTTCATCTAGCTTTATTAAACAATTGTTTTCTAACAGCCTTGTGTTAATGGCATACAGAGGTTGTCACATGTAACTAACTGGACAGAGCAGGTCAAAAGAGTGCCTTACAGTCATTTGCAGGGGGAAAAAAAAAAGGTAAAGAAATCAGGAGGTCCTGACCTAGCCCATCCAAAATCAGACTCAGACATCTGAGAGCTGAGCAAGTTATTAGGGTAAAATGGAGTAAGGAAGTGGTCAACCTGGGTAGAGGGACAGTAAACAAACTAACAAGAAGTGACAGGCCTTCCTGTAAGTCAAATTTCAGATTTGCAGTGAACTCTTTGTCAGGTGTGTCAGGTTCCCTTATCACTAATTTCTAAGGTAATTTATTTCACCTAATTTTTTTCTTGAGCAAATGTGGCCATCTAAACTTTCTATTACTAAGCAAAGAACAACATATTTACCTGATTAAAATTCTGCAATCCTTCCCACTGTTAAACTTATCTCCTCACTCCTCAGACCACCTAATAAGAATTCGCCAGCTACCTTAAGCATTTTCCTGATCTAAGAAGGACCTCTCCAAGGAGCTCTCAGGATTGGAAAGCATATTCCTTGCCTGGAGAGGTTTCTTTTGTCTTGGATGGTGGAAAAGTCCATTCTACCCTAAAGGAGATGTAACACCCTAACAAAACAAAAAGTAAGGCAGAAAAGGCCTTGGAGATTTATACATACATACACACACATATATAGTTACATATACACATATAACTATTGTATGTATATACTTACAAATATGTATATGTTTGTATAGATGTATGTGTATACACATATATGTAAGTATATACATACATCCATATATATGTATACTTGCAGATCGAAAGGGGAGATGGGGTGATTCTCCTAGGTATAAAAAAAGGTAACTTCTTACCCTTAAGTCCAAATTTGGCTAAAGTTCACTTTTCCTTTTGAAATTCACCAAAAGCACTGGCTTCAACAAAGTCTAGCAACAGTTACTTTGCATTGTTTTACTAGTTGAGTTAGCACACACCAAAAGAAGAGTACACTAACTTTCCTAAGAAATATTAACTGTCTAAGATAGAAACCAGAGAAGCAGATTCCACAAATGCTGACTGATGAGCATTGGGAAACTTCCTCTTGTGGTCAGCGCCAAACATCAGCTGCCTTGAATTGTAGGCTGTCCAGTATGCCAGTGAAGGCTTAGTCCAAGGATGTGGGTCACTGGGGCTAAACACATACACACACACACATACATACATATATACATACATACATACACACACACACAATAATATAGTCTTCCACTCCCACTTCCATGAAGTCTAAAATACTGTTTTTACCAAGTGTGATCTCACACAATCTACCTTAGACCCTAATACCTTTTCTTGAAGCCTTGAATGCAACCTGTTTTAAACCCCAAAGTATGGAAACCTACTGCTCACCGCCAAGGACCTAGACTCCCGAGCAAAGTCTTTAAAACGCCTCCCTAGAATGGTTTACTTCCCCAAGTGTATCTATCTCAGTCTCCAAACAACAGGTCACCTTGGCTGAGTCACAAAAGGATTTAGGATGAAGGGCAGCGGTTAATAATTACTAAAGGCAAGTTTTTATCATTAACTCTCAATTTCCTGGCCTCGAGTTTACGTCAGCCTTCCCCCCCCATTCCTCCCCCCACCACCACCCAGACGAGCTCCACTGGCTACTCCAAGCCACGCCTTTCCAGGCGCAGTCGCTTAACCAGAATAGCATGGCACACTGATAGCGAGAGGTAGGGACTGCGGAGCTAGGGGAGCGCGCTGAGGGTGGAAGCCAGGAGCGAAGCCGCCAGGAGGATGGATGCTGCGCTCTAGGGCGAGAGAGGTGGGCATCTCCTCAGCCTCCTCCAGCCGCCACTACGCCCCCGGGAGCTGCTGCGCGGGACTTCCTAGGAGTTTGTGGCAGAGGGGGAGGTTTATGCGCTCAGCCAGGTTTTCCTTCCCTGCCTCCCGAACTCCAGTTCGAAGCCTTCCTCCCTTCCATAGCCCCTCCTCTCTCTGCAAACCTCCCCCTCCAGCAGCGCAGCGCCGAGGCTGCCGCGGGAGAGCTCGCCTGTGCCCGCCGCCTCCCAGCCCCGAAACCCTCCCGCTGCTTACTCAGTCCCCCACCTCTCCTTTGCATTTTAAGACACTGATTTTTTTCTTTCTTTTGGGGGCGGGAGGGGGGGACAAAACGATAGTAGCCAACAGCCCTGAAAAACTTCCTTGCCAACGTTGCCAAACCTTGGTCCCCGCTTGGAGTCATCCCAGGGGGAAGAAGGAAAGGTGAAGGTAGGATGGGGAGGAAGGAGATGGAGAAATACAACAAATAAACAGCGTGAATCTTACCTATCAACTCTTTGGGCACCTCTGAGCTCTCTTCAGTCATTGTTGCCCTTTACGGAGGGGTACGTAGCTGGTTCAACTATAATTTATTATTCCCACCCTCTCCTAAGCACCTGAAAATATATATACATATATATATGTATTATATATATATTATATGTTATATATATTATATATCATATATATTATATATATTCTCTTTAAAGAAACAGATGCGGCTCACAAATGGAGCGGGGAGGAGGCGGGGAGGGAGGAAGAATTTTTTTTTAAAAGGTTGCTGCCCTCCCCCCACCAAAAAAAAAAAGAGTTGCAAATAAGAGATGACTATGTGGCTGCTACATGACGACTCCTCTTCGGTTCTGGCGAAGGCTGGACAGGGGATACGGGTGAAGGAACCAGCCGGGAGCCGGGGAAGAGGCGGCTGGGACTCCTGCTGCAGCTGCCGCCACCTCCGCTGCTGCTACCGCTGCCGCCGCCGCCGCCGCCGCTCCTCCTCTCACTCCCTCACTCGCTCCCTCCGCTCCTGCCGTCTCCCTCCCGCTGGGGCTCCCGCTTCCCTCCAGTCCTCAGCTGCTCTCGCCTCCCTCCTTCCTGCTCCAGACACCTACTGGCCTTAGGTGAAAGCGGAAGGCGTGGGGAGGGGGGCGGAGGAGAGGAGCCCGGGAGGGGAGGGGAAGGGAGGCGGGGAGGAGGAATAGGATTTCCTCGCTTTCTATCCGTGGCTCCCCGCCCCGCCGGGGACTGCTGGGCGCACGCAAACCCTGCCCTCTTTCTCCTCTACCTCCTCCTCCTTCTCCTCTCCTTCTTCTCCACCTCCTCCTAGTTAGTCCTCACCTCGCGAGAGCCAGCCTCCCCGAATGGAACCACGCTCGAGCCTCCCTCTGCCCCAGAGCCTGCCCCGGGTGTCCACACACCCGGCTAGAGGCATGAAGGAACTTGGGCCGCCAGACCTAGCTACCACCCAAACCACAAAATCCCTGTGTCTGGAGAGGAGACAGGAACCGGGGGGGCCATCTGCTGGCTGCAGAGAGAGGAGGTGGGGAGGCCTGGGCTTCTGCGGGTGCTGAGAATATCTTCTGACTTGGGGGAAGTAGGGGGTCTCTCCTGTTTTCCTCCTTTTGAATACCAGGTCGGAATAGAAGATAAGAGACAGCAGCACCAGGTTCGCCATCATATTGTTTTGCAAAGAGACAGTCCCTTTTCCTGGAGCAGTTTAATAACCGCCCCCACCCCTTCCTTACATGTTGTCATTTTATCTGCAGTATTTATTTTCCATCTTCATATGAGCACAAGCTAAGCAAAACCTGGAAACACAAACCATATGGTGAGGAACGACTCTGGGCCTCCCCCCCAGCCCCATACATTTTCAAGCATGTGCTTGCCAGACTTTTGAAATACACGTCATTTAAATTGTAAAAGCAGCTTGAGAGAAGCCCCAGCAACTGTTGCCGCCTCCTATTCCGTTCTCCCTCCCCCTCTACTTATCAGGATCATAGATTTCAATCTCGGGGGGGACTTAGAGGCCCTGGAGTTTGGCCCCCTCATTTTACAGATGAAACTAAGGCTGAAAGGTCTCCCCACCCTACCCCGTTAATTTTGGAAGTTGTACAATATTTGGATAAAGCTGGTCATTCAGAGGCTCTATGTCTGGAGCCTGATCAGTAGCAGTTTGAGGCCCTAGGATATTTGTGTGCCTCAGATTATGCCTACTAACTCTGAACTAGGAAAGCAAACATTTTCCCAGTGAGGATTGGTTTACAATAGAGAAAGGGAGAAAAGGACAGAGGGAAACCTGAAGCTTTGGATGTCTCATTTGAAACAGACTCTATGAACACTGTAAACAAGTCACTCCCCAGCTCAAAGTCTTTCAGGCAGCCCTGTGCCTACATGATGAAGTCAGAAAGGCATTCCAGGCCCTCTCAAATCTAATCCACTCTGCTTTTCTTTTGCAGAATCTTAGAACTAGAAAAAACTCCAGTGGTCATATGGTCCAACTCATCTGAGCAAGAATCCTGTCTACAAGGCGCCTGGAAAGGGGTCATCCAGTTTTTTTTCCTGGAGACTCCCATAAGAAGTAATTTGTAACCTTCTGAGGCACCCATTCTATTTTTTAATAGCTCTCATTGTTAGAAAGTTTTTGCTTATATCAAGGCTATCTTCCTCCACAATTTTCACCTACTGCTTGGTTCTACCTTGGAGGGCCAAGCCAAGCAGAACAGGTGTGATCTCTCTTCCCTGGGATAGCCCTTCAAATACTTGAAGTTAGCTATCATGTCCCCACCTAAGTATTCTCTCCAGTATGAATAGCCTCTGTTACTTTAATTATCCTTATAGAACATGATCTTCAGGCCCTTTACCAACCTGATTGCCTTCTCTTAAACACCCTTCAGCTCTTTTTTAGCCATTTCTCCCAGTATTCTTCTGAAACCCTTGGCTTCAGTCATTTGGGTCTTGCCTTTAGAAAATACCCATAGTTGTCCACTTTTCCAGCTCTTTGAATTTATGAGCCAAGAAAATTACCAGTTTAAAAAAAAATGCCAACCAAGGAAATGAGTGACTTACTTTTCCAGTAAGCCTTTTGCTTGTATTAATTAGTCTCCTGACTAAAATGCTCTCTATTCTGGTTTCTCCTGGGCTTATTTAAATCTTTCTGGGCCCAAATGAAGTCACAATTTATCCATAAAGACTTCCCAGGCCACTCCAACATATGATTTCTCTCTCCTTTGAATTTATTGCTTGTACTAGCTGAGGCAAAGAGACAGCATGGTGTAATGGTAAGAGCATGGGTCTTGAAATCTGGAGAAAAGTCTGTCGGTACTACCATTCAGCCACCTTGTGCAAGTCACTGATAAGCAGAAGTTAAGTCATTAGACTAATCAAATTGTAATAACCACAGCAATGCTACTAATGCTGCTTTAAGACTGGGATGTGTCAAATGTCTAGGAGCAAAACTTTCCCTCAAAAGAAATATAAAACATTCCTGAATTTGTGAAAATACCCTCTGATGTAATGGAGTGCTAGACTTGGAATCAAGAGCCATGGTTTCAAATCCTTGACTCCACTAAGCCTTAGTTTCCTCCTCTGTGAAATGGGAACAACAATAATAAATAAAATTGATGTGAGGAAAGCACATTGTAAATTTTAAAGCATTCTATGAGTCACATTATAATGTCGTGGATTGGAATAAGGAAGACAAGTTCAAATCCTCTCAAGCACTGGCTCTATGGCCCTTGGCAGGTCACTGCTCTGAGCCTGTTTCATCATCTATGAAATGGATATGATAATACTAATATTAAGCTACCCCACAAGATTGTTGTGAAGAAAGCATTTTGTAAACCTTAAAATGCTTTATAAATGTGAGTTATTGCCTTCCAACTCTAAATTGATGATCATATTAATCATGTGCTTGCCTTTGACATCTATATATTTTTTATGTTGTTACTTAACAAAGTAGTCTATAGGGGGTGGACTTGAAGTCCAGAAGACCTCAGTCAAGTACTGCCTCTAATACACACTGTGTGTGACCTGTGTCCAAGTCATTTAACCTGTCCATACCTTGAGCAGCTTTCTTAAACTGTAAAGAGCTACTCTCTCTGTGGTGGAGGGAGTTGGGAGTAGGGCACAGGGAGTGGGAGTTGGGGAGTACCCTAAACAGATGAAATCACAGGTCTAGACCAAATTTTTTAAATTGGTATTTAACTTTTCCTGTGCTCCAGTCTTATGTCCCCATCCAGATCATAAACCATTTGGGGAGAAGTATGCTGCCTTCATATACCCCTCAGTGCCTAGAACAATATCTTACATTTAATTCATGCTCATTAAATATATGAATGATTGGTTTGGATGCTTGATGATCTTTTATTCACCTATTCCCTAGGTTGGCATTTTTTTGTTTTACCGAAAATTTTCTTGACTCGTCAAATGTCTCTTTCCTGTAATTAAGTAGAAATTAACATCTCAGAATGGTCTTTTTATTTCTGCTGTTTGTGTGTTGTTTTTTTAAAAGAGGTTTTTTTTTTTTCTGGCACATACCAATGAAGTTTTAGAAACATAGCCCTGAAGGTTCTAAACCATGTGGGAACTCATGAAAATAAGGACAAAAGATTTTCTTGTAAGCCCCAGGGGGTGGAAGGAATAAAGGGAATACTGTAGAATAGCTCTGGAATACTGTGCACCCTGGCTTCTATGAACGGAAGCTGGGATTTCAATGAAAGACTCTTTTTTACTGCAGCAGAATCCTGATTGGCTGTTCTACATCCTAAAGGGGTGGATTCGTCTATGAACCTCATCTCTCAAACCCTGAAAATGAGTGACTGATTGGGACATCAAAGCCATTTATTTCTTAGGTGCAAGCCTCAAATATGTTTCAGAATGGCAAGAACATAACTCCAAGTACCGCAGTTATTTAAGTGGTGGAACACAACAAGCAATGAATTTCTCCGGCAGAAGAGATTTATGGCAACAGCTTACAAGATGCAGTGAATCCTTTGAAATCCGTCCCTGTGGACCAAAGTCTGCCCACCCTGCTAACTCTTCAACCCATCTTTACCCTAATCTGGCATTTCCCTTATTTTCAAGCTTTTTGACATAGTTTTCTGATAGAAAAAGGCACATAAACTGGACCATGATTGTATAAGATCTCAGCTCTGTGACCATCTGAGCAAAGAATTATTTGTAGTAGGTATGCATATACCGACAGCATAGCATTTGACAAATAATTGAATAGAAAAGAACACTTCCTACCTATCTATACTTGAGTTTTAAAACAAAAATGGAGCAGCAATAATAAATTAGTATCATTGCTCATAATTTATATTTTCATAGCACTTTAAGATATGCAAAGTACCTTTTTTCACAACAATCTGGAAAGGTGGGTAACAAAAGTATTATTATCATTTCCATTTCCAGCTGAGGAAACTGGCACTCTGAAAAGTTTAGTGACTTATCAAAGGTTGCATAGCTAAGTGTCAGGGCTGATACAGGGCCAGGCTAAGATTCAAACCCAGGTCTCTCCTAACTCCAAATCCAATTTTCTCTCAAAACACTGCTCATCAATGACTGTGCAACAGAATTATTAGAAATTACTTTAGCTACAGCAAACATTTTATTTGGTTGCTAACGTGTACATGCATATATGTGCAGAAATATATGTGTGCACATGTACATATATGTGTATATAATACCAAATAAATTATTTTAATTGATCTGTATTTGTTGAAATATTTGCTGAATATATTTAATACTCTCAGGTACTACTGGTACCAATTCACTAAACAATAGAGTCCTAGATGACATGATGCATTATGGGAAATGAAGAGAATAAAACTGTGGAGTTTTAAAAAATACCTAAAGACCTTACCCACCATGAATTTCATGGTTTATCTGCTCTAATCAGGAGTAGTTTCAGGTTGGAAGATGTTGGGAAATGTGTTTGATATGGTGGAAAAAACATTAGGTTTGGAGCCAAAGGGCCTAGGTCTCATATTTGATGCTTATTACCTATGTAATCTTGGGCAAGTCATTTAACATTCCAAGGCCCTTTTAGAGAAATGAAGTTGTTTTTCTTTTCCCCAAAAAAGTTTTGATCTCTGAAGCTGCCCCTTACTTCAGTATGTCTTAATTTGTTCCTTCTCATCCCCCTGCTTGATACGTTATTTGACATTGTGCCTTGATAACATGGTCAATGTGTCTTGGGTGATAGGAGAGAGAGGAGGTATAAACCTCCCTCTGGGCTCCCTTCCCTCATGCCTCCTCTCCCTGCTTCCTGCCTTTTAATATAAGCATAAGGAATCTGACTTTTCAAAGCACTTGATCATAACTCCCAAAACAGTCACTAGGTTGCTCCTACTATAATATCCTTGTCTGACAGACACACAACCAGAATTGTATCTTTCTTTCAGTCAGTCTCAATATATTTCATCATCTGATTTCATCCTATGGTTAGAAGCACTTCTTTCTCTCCCAACTTGATTAACTAGGTTCTTTGAATGAAATTTATGCTTTTGTTGTCTATAGATTGTTTACACCTAGTTTACACATTTGATTGTTTGATTCTATAACCCAATCAGAGTGTTCTCACTTGAGAATGGCATTGGAGTATAAGAACAACTTATTAGTTATATTAATTGAGGTTAGAGTATGAGACACCCCATTCTTACACTTTCCCCTCAGTTTAACATCTTCTGTCCTTAACAAATATACTGTAGTATATTTGGCAAAATTTGGTGTTTCAGTTCTTTCATCACTCTCTGTTGACTTGGGAAGGTTCAGCATAAAATTTTTTTTAATGCCTTCATAACACTTAGCTAGAACTTTCTGAAAGTAGAAAGGCAAACTGTTTTGGGAGGTAAAGATTTCCCCCTCATTGGAAGTCTTCAAACAAAAACTGGATAAACACTTGTCAAGGACGTTGTAGTAAAGAATCTTGTTCAAATATGAAATGGAACAGAGAGCTCCTAATGGCCCTTCTAACTCTGATTCTTTGAATCTGGAAACAGTGCCTATGGAGGGGATGGATTGAGGGGTGAGGAGACAAAGTGCTGTACTGAAGTAAATAGTTCACTCTCACAAGGATGGGAAGAAGAATACTCAAGTCAACCTCTGTCTGCTCCTCAAAATAGACATTCACAGGAACAGAAACTAACTTTATGCACATTCCTTATAATTTTCAAAATTAGGTTACATTACCCTATCTAACACTGGCTAAAGTAGTTAGTGATAAGTAGGAGTTGAGTAAGAACAGGAAACTAAGGTATTATAGAATTCCTACTGATTAGGCAACCAAGAGAAGAAAGACTCCCTCAGTTGTTTCAAGTATGGGATGGGGTAGGGGAAAGAACATTGGGCTAGGAGCCAGGCAACATGGATTTTAATTCCTGCATCTGTCACTACTTGTGAGCCCTGAGTCAGGTCATCTTCCTCTCTAGACCTCCATTCCCTTCATTTTAAAAAGGGAGAGAAGACCATGGGATCACAGATTTAGAGCAGGAAGGAATCTTACAGTTCATCTAGTCCAATGTTCTAAAAACTGAGGTCCAGAGGATGTGTCACTTTCTGAAAGTTTCCAGCTAGAAGCCTGGTCTGATCTAAATCCAGCACTCTTGCTTCTTTTTTTTTTTTAATTTACTTTTTTTCAATGAACAAAAATCTATTTTCTGTCTCTTACACTTCCCCTGCAACTATTGAAAACACAAGAAAAACAAAACCCTAGTAAAAAAATATTCACAATCAAGTAAAACAAAGAATATAGCTGTGGGGCAAAAGGAGCCAGGAGAAACATCTCTGGCCTCTTCTTCCTATATCTTTATCCAAGGGAGACTTTAATATCTGCCAGAAGAGGAAGCAGGAGGTTGGCACCAAAAGTTACCACTCTGTTCTCCTTAGAGAAAAAAGGTACTAGGTTAATTATATTATCTATTCCCTTAAATACTGTTAATCTAGGGGATGTGAGTTTTAGGTTCAAGCTAGCTTCATTATTGGAAGGAAGCAGGTCCCTAGATCTGTATCTGAGGCTTGAACCCTTTCCCTCCAATACAGTTACACAGTAAATACACATAACATTTAGCCAAAAAACTAATTTATCCAAATCAATAACAGAACAGAAATCAAAGTATACATAGGAGAATATATACCAGACAATACAGAGTGAAGGAACTCTCACTGGGATTGAGGTAACATAGCTCAATGGAGAGAGAGTCTCAGTTCTCACTCAAGGGGAATGTGCCCTGAAGTCTCTAGTGTAGCAAGCTGGGGATCGTGGCATGATGATGACTGCTAGTTTCCCTCATGTCTACCCAGAGTCTTTAACTTTAGCAACCTGATATTTTCCATCTTCTCTCTGGAAGCCAGAAGTGCCCTTCATTCAGGGCAGGGCATTCATCTCCATCAAAAAGGGACCCTCTCCCTCACTAGTGGGCTTTGGGGACTAGGGTTACAAAGTATTGAATTTGGAATCAGAGGACAGGAGTTGGAATCATGCTTCCACTATTTACATCCATCTTTGTAAAGGACAAGTCACTTAACCTCTATAAATCTGTTTCCTCATTAATAAAATGAGGGGATTGAATCAGGTTACTTCTGAAGTCCCTTCCAGGGGCAGCTAAGTGGTGCAGTGGATAGAGCACTGGCCCTGAAGTCAGGAGGAACTGAGTTCAAATCCAGCCTCAGATCAAACCCTTAACACTTACTAGCTGTGTGATCCTGGGCAAGTCACTTAACCCCAATTGCCTAAAAACAAAAAAAAAATGAAGTCCCTTCCAGCTTCAAATCTGTGATTTTAAGTCCAGACTGGGAAGGGGAGGCTGAGATGAGGGGATAAGAAGCAAAGAACAGTCTGGGGGAACCCTGAGAGAAAGGGTGCTTCAACTTTTAGGTATTTTTCCTCCACCCCAAGGAGAACACAGCTCTGCTATAGAGTTGCCAGTGGTTGTGCTTCAGGCCAGCAGATGATGGAGACAAAGCCATGGAGAATACTCGATCTGAAGGTGGAAAGCAACACTAGCCTATGCCTTGAAGCAAAGTTAATTATAGCTCTGTTGACTCCTTCCCAGCTATCTGGTTGGTTGGTTGGTTGTCCTTCATTCTGAGAGGACCAAAATGACATCACAATGTTAGAATCAAATTACAGTATGTCTGATTGTGACTGTGATCAGACCAGTACAAGCTTGGAATGCTCTACCACAGGTCAGGCACAAATAGTCCGTGTGAATATTTGGGGTGGGTTCTCTAAATTTGTGCATCTGGCAATGGCCAGGTCCCTCTCATCCTTAAAACATCTTCACTTGACTCCTTAAACTATACTCCCATATCTCTCCTCCTGTTTATAATAAAAAATAAAAAGACTGTCCATATTCATTGTCTCTACTTCTCATTCCACTCATTCCTCAAGCCCCAGAAAGACACCCTCCATCACTTATTTGGAATTACTTCTCTAACCAATGATGTCTTAATTACTAAATCTAATGACCTCTTCTCAACCCTAGCCTCTCTTGATCTATCTGCAGCATTTGCCACTACTAACCACTTCCTCTTCCTAGATATTCTCTCCTCCCTGGAATTCCATACATAGAGATATATTTATCTACTGGTTCTCTTTCTACCTGACTATTCCTTCTGTCTCTTTTGCTGAATGATCATGCACACTTTAACAGGAGTGTCACCTGAGGTTCTGTCCTGGACTCTCTTCTATCTATGCCCTCTTATTTTGTTTGGGTAAGTCATTTAATCTCTCTGAGCCTGTGTTCCTCATCTGTAAAAGGAAGGAGTTGGACTAAATATTGTTTAGAGTCCCTTCCTGCTCTAAATCTATGATTCTATGATCTCTATGTATATAATTCCCAAATGTATATATCCAGTCCTAGTCTCCCTCCTGACTTCCAGTACCATGTCATTAAGTATGTGTTGACTGTCTCCAGCTGGGTGTTCTATAGGCATTTCAAACTTTTTTTTAAAAAAAATTTTGTTTGTGAAATCATAAAAATAGGAAAGGACCCATATGTACAAAAATATTTATAGCAGCTCTTTTTGTGGTAGCCAAGAATTGGAAACTGAGAGGATATCTGTCAGTTGGAGAATGGCTGAACAAGTTGTGGTATATGAATGTTAATGGAATACTGTTGTGCTATAAGAAATGATGAGCAGGCTGACTTCAGAAAAACCTGGAAAGATTTATATGAACTGATGCTGAGAGGGACAATTGATTGGTTTAAGATTGTAAAAGGACTACCACAAGACTGTATATTGTCACCTTATTTATTTAACTCATATGCCGAGCAATCATGCAAAATGCCAGGCTGGATGGATCAAAAGCCAGAATTAAGGTTGTTGGGAGAAATATCAACAGTCTCAAATAGGCAGATAACAGAAGTCTCTGATGGCAGAAAGTGGAGAGGAATTAAGAAGCCTTTTGATGAGGTGAAAGAAGAGAATGCAGACTTTAGAAAAACCTGGAAAGACTTGCATGGATTGATGCTGAATGAAGTGAGCAGAACCAGGAGAACGTTGTACACAGTAACAGCCATGTTGTTTGATGATTAATGTTGATAGACTTAGCCCTTCTTAGCAATGCAAGGATATAAGACATCTCCAAAGGTGTCATGATGGAAAATGCTATCCACATCCAAAAAAGAGCTATGGAGTTTGAATGCAGATCGAAGAATACTATTTGCTCTCTTTTTCTTTCA